GTGCCGGGCTGGTGAGTTCAGAAATAGCTGGCTGTCCTCGCATCACAGAATCCCATTGTGGGAAGGCGCCTTGGAGAGCAGCCCCCTGACCCTTCCCTTTGTAGATGGGGGGAGTGGGGCCAGCCAGGTTAAGTGACTTGCCAACAGCCACACACGGGCTCTCGGGGCCTCGGCTGCCACGCCTCAGTGGCCCTTCTCCCCTCCCACCCCTTGCTCTCAGACACAGGTCCTGCTCCAATGCATACAGACACCCTCCTGCAGATCAGGGAACAACGAACGCCCTGTCCTGGGAGGAGGCCCTGGGTGGAAGCAGGTGAATTTAGCCCCATTCACCCTCCTAGCCTGAAGCTGCCGTCTGCAGCTCAACTTCACAGCCTACCTGAAGCTTCCATGCTCCAACCATGCTTATGTGTGTGTGGTCACAGGCTGCCTGGTTTCTCTCCCAGGGAGGGATTTTCCTCCCAGCTTTCTCTCCCACCAGCTCATCTGTGAGTCCAACTGGCTCATCAGAGTGGCAACCTGCCCCCTCTCTTCCTCCAACCTAAAGATAACGTCAGCCCCATTATCCTCGGCACCACCAAAGCCCTGTGGTCAGACTGCCTGGGAGTGAGAGCTTGATCTCAGAGGCCATCAGGGAAGCGGTGGCAAACTGTAGCCCAGAGGCCAAAACCACGCTGGGCCTGTTTTTAAAAACACAGTGTTATCAGAACAGTCAGTCTCCAACATGGACATACAGTCTATGACTGCTTTCAAGCTCCAGTAGTCCATGGATAGCAACCACCAAAATGACAGGGTCCACAGAGTCTGTGATGTTCATCAGCTGGCCCTGCACAGAAGGTCTGCCAGTGCCTGATCTACAGCACCCCTCCTGTGGGTCAGAGAAGGTCGGTGACTTAGCCAGTCTCACGAGCTGATGGATGGCCAAGCCAGAGTTTGAACCTGAGGTCCCGACATTCTTCCCCGTATACCCCGGACTCTGCAAAAAGAAAGCGGACTTGGACATATAATCAGATGCCCAGCTTATCGCCAGCCTTTTTCTGTAGAAAAATTCCAAGGGAGAGATCATTCTGCTCTGAAAGCATCAAGGCAACTCTGAACTCATTCCCAAAAGCTGATTTGGGGGGCCTGAGGTTCCCTCCCTGGAGGAAGTTCCTGAGAAGCTGTGGTAGCTAAGCCACTTGCTCTTGCCTCGGCCCCACAGGGACCATACCAACCTGCCTATCTCCCAAGGGTGCTATCATTGCCCAGCTCCCCAGGGCCAATCGATGCTTCCCATCCTGGGTTTTGAGCTGGTGCACTCACTGCAGTGGCATAGCCTCTGCTTTCATGAGTGGAGAGAAGGTGGCCAATCAAGGGGGCTCCAGAGAACATGACATCTGGATGTTCTGTAGCCACTGTCCCCAGCAACTGGCAGATCAAATCACAGTGACTTACAAATACCAGGAGGTTCCCTTTTCCTTCCTCCTCACCCCTCCTGCCCTTTCAACTCCTCTCGCCAAAGCTTCCAAAGGCACAGTCCAGGGCCTGATAATGGCCCTGCTCTTTGTCTGCCGCAGGTCATTCATGAAAAGCTGCTCAGGGCACAGGAGGAGGAAGGGAGAGGCTCTGAGGTCAGAACCCAGCACAGCTCCTCCCACTGCCCAGAGTAGGAATGCTGGCCAGCCAGGCAGGTGCTGAGAATCCACGGAGGCCCGGGCCAGCATGCCCGGGGGTGAAGGGAAGAGCATGGCATACTGGATACATGAGGTACCCCGTTTAACCTCAGCAGTGGTCGTATGAGGCAGGGACTGCCATCCTCATTGACAGACGAGAAAACCAAAGCCCAGGTTGGATGTGTTCATCCAGTTGGTCAATGAAAGATTTGGGATTCAAACCCAGATCTGCCTCACACCCAAATGCATCATCTTTCTTCGTCGCCATAGAGCCCCCAAGACAAGAGCAATCCAGTCCCATAAGCAGGTTCTCAGCTGGCCAGCCTCCTCCCAGAGAGGCCGCCTGCCAGTCAAAGCTGTTGTCTAACATGGGAAGTATTTTTCCCAGGAAAAGCAGGATGGCAGACACCAAGGTGGGATGCTCGACCTCATCCCCTTCTGCCCCACCAGGAAGGCCTGGGGTGGGGCCCTGTCTGGGGCAGCATCTTCCTCACATTCGCTCCCTTCTGAGTCCACACCACACTGGAGTCAATGAACTAGTTTACAGAATGTCTTCACATTTGCCCTGAAAACCGGGGAGGGAGAGGAGAGCGAAGCACTGGAGCGTCCCAGTGGCAGCCACCAGCCAGCAAGGGGCAGGGCACATAGTGGCAGCTAAGTGAGGGTTGGCAGCCTGGCACAGCGAGTAAAACACAGACCTGCAAGCCAGCCTGCCTGGATTTGCGTCTGAGTGCTGCACCCTCCCCTCTGTACCATCTTGGGCAAGATGGTAACTTCTCTGGGCCTCAGTCTGCTCTTCTGTAGAATGGGGATACAGAGCCAAACTGGTTGCACCCAAGTCAGGGGAAAGGAGTTAATATTCTTCCAACTCAAAAGAGTGCCTGTTACAGGGTGCGGGCTTTGGAGGCATTAGTTAAGTCTTCAATGCACATAGTTTAAAATAGTACATCGGTTTGGGTTTTCAGTAATGCTATGAAAACCCTTCTAAAATGTTTACTCCCGGCCCTAGCTGGTTTGGCTCAATGGATAGTACGTCAGCCTGGGGACTGAAGAGTCCCAAGTTCGATTCCTGCCAAGGGTACATGCCTGGGTTGTGGGCTTGATCCCCAATAGGCGGCGTGCAGGAGGCAGCCAATCAATGATTCTCTCTCATCATTGATGTTTCTATCTTTCTCTCCCTCTCCCTCCTCAATAAAATCAATAAATCAATAAAATATATTTTAAAATATTTTTAAATAAATAAAATGTTTATTCCCTTATTCTGCTCTGAAAAGTACAGCACAAAAAAATACCGAAATCACTCACTCCGGAAGCGGAATGTAGCAAGTAATGTTCTGGTTAATTGAGAGTCTGCACAGCGCTGATTTTGTAAAGAGCATCTTTGTGATGATTTCAATGCCCTTGTTTTGAGGTAGGAGGCGTACAATGGAGTGACGTGGCTGGGTTTTTAGGAAACACATCAGAACCTAGAAATTCCAAGTGGTCTCTTAGGCAGGCTGGGGTCCCATGATTCCGACAGGAGGCACTGGGCAAGAAACCACCTCAGCATCGTCTGTCCATCTGTCTCGCTTCTCTCCCCTCTGAAGCATGTTTGGAGCTTAGAAGGATCTTAGTTATCATCTAATAAAAGTTTGTAGCTCTAGCCAGTTTGACTCAGTGTGTAGAGCATCAACCTGCAAACTGAAAAGTCCTACGTTCAATTCAGGTCAAGGGTATGTACCTCAATTGCAGGCTCCTCCCTGGCCCTGGCCCCAGCAGCCCTGGTCAGGGCCTGTGTGTGAGGCAACCAATAGATGTGTTTCTCTGTCTTTCCCTCTCTCTTCCACTCTAAAATCAATGGAAAAATATCCTCAGGTGAGGATTAGAAAAAAAAAGAACATTGTATGTGGGCTAACCAAGGTTGAACAAGTGACTAGAAACCAGTCTCTCCACCACTTAAACCGACCACCAAGAATATTACCAAACTTATTTACCATTTTTTACTCCAAATGAGTGGTTTACCCTAAGAAAAATTTAGTCCGTTTGTTAAAGATGAATATCTACCCCCACCAAGACAGAAGAATGGGCAACCGGCTATGGACACATTTACTTGTGCTGTCACCGGGTCAGACCAGTTCACTCCCTTGACATCCTGGCCCACTTGGAGGGAAGACCCAGTTCAAATTACACCAGAGATTAGGAGAGGCTGTCAAGGAATTTCTCTAGCACGCTTTGCCCTTACATGGGTAAAGGAAAGTCAGTCTTATACAGGTACCTGACAGTCAGTGGGACAGCACTGGGAATTAGGGACAGGAAGCTGCAGGTGCGCGCGCGAGCGTGCACACACAGCCCATTGCATGAAGTAAAGCCATTGCAGGTTGACCAACAGGCCCTGGGAGTTAACCAGCACTGGTCTCTGGATGGGCATCTCAGTGAGCCATGAGCCCTGAACAGGAGCCAGGTAGCAGGCTAAAGGCAGCCACCCTGGCAGGCCTGGAGCTGCCTGAATTCACCATAGCCTGGAGGAGTTGGCAGGGTCCAGCTATAGGGCCTGAGGATCAAGTCAGGGGCTTATGTCTTAGGACTCCCAAGAGCAGGGTTGGGCTGTCTTGGGAAACCCATGTTGCCAAGGTTACAAAGGCAAGTGTGGGGGTACAAGGAACTGAGAAAATGACCAATATCTGGTCTTGGGAAGAGGCAAGCTGTGCAGCCTACCCCAGGCCAGAGCAGGACCTGGGCATGCTGGCTTGATGCAGAGTCCCCTGAGCTCCTGATCTACCTCCTTGGCTCCCCAGCCACAGCTGGTGAGTGTGGGTGGGGGCTCAGCTGGGCACCAAGGCAGGTCCCAGTGGGGCCCAGCTGCATTGAAAGGAGGGCAGCAGAGGCAAGGGTCAGCTGGGAAGCTGTTGTTGTTGGCTGAGCAAAATCATCCCAGGCTGGAATCCTTCCCAGCAAGGGGAGAAGCATCCCTATGTGGTCCCAACCCGCCAAGGCACTGGAGCCTAGGAAGTGCAGGGAAGATCGCACAGCCTTGCAGACAATGCATGCCCCAGATCAGGAGTCCCCAGGGAGCTGGTGGCAAAACAAGTTCATGTCATAGACTTTGCTGACTCTGGGGTAAAGGCTCGGCTGGCCTACACTCCATGTGGTGACTCTCCCAAAAGAACTCCAGAATAGGTTCTGATCAATCTCTGTAGCCCCAACCAATCTCCTGATTTCTTTCCTGTTTCTCTTCCCCATATCTCCCCCCAAATCCAAGCTCCACGTCTTGGCTCACTAGTAAGCTAATTAACATTAAATAGTAACATTTTATTCTTCCCAGTTTTATTAACACATTTGGAGAGGATCACAGAGAACAGAAATCATCTCAACTAAAGGGATGAATATTTAATGGTGAAGGTTTAACTACGCGATACCTGGGAGACGTTTTAAGGCAGAGGAAAGCTGCCCAGAATCCATTCCTCCCTTCATCATGGCACCACCATTTCTTCTTGGAAAATTTCCTCTTCCCCGTCATGCAATCCAAGAGCTTACTTCCCATGAGGGATGCCAGACGTGACGTATCCTTGCACTCAACAATGGTGGGACGTAGATACACGGTCCCAGAGCAGACGGATGGCGGTTGGTGGTCCTTCATCACAGAGCAGGCAGCGTGATGACCCTAGAATCCTGTCATCCAGCCCTGCAGATGTTCTTTGGCGAATGTTCTAGGAACACTGATGCTGTGAGCCATCCCCACCCCCACCCCCCACCCAGCCTTTAAGTCAATCAGACTTTGCTGTTTGCAAACACATGGATCTCAAGTGGCCCCCACAACTGCCTCCACACGCAGTCAGGCCAGTGATGACGGGGAAGAGGGCTGGCTGGCTCAGTGCCCCTCCATGCAGGGGCAGGGACGCAGTACATCACAATCACCACCACCGTGGACATAGTGCATGAGTGGCCAGAAACAAGAGCCACTTGCAGGGACCCAGGGCTGAGAGAATGGAAAGCAGCTTCCCATCTCCCAAAGGTGACAAGATGGGATCGTGTGCATCCCTGAAGGCCAGGCTGACAGCAGGAAAATCCCTCACTGGCAATCTTGCCTCCTCTCTCCTGCCATATGCACTGGCACACACGTGAGCACCTGCAGGCCCACACAAGTGTACACACTCAGCTAGCAGGCATCCTTCTGGTCTCTCCGAGAGACTCTCCCGGAGAACATGCAGGCCCGTGTCTGGTGGAGGCTGGGTGGTAAGTGGAGAAAACAGAAGCAGGGCTGGGCCATGGTGTCTTCCTTCCCTGGTGGGACCCAAGAAGCCAGGTCCCTGCCTCACAATCTTAAATAAACCAGGAGTCCCAGCGGGCAGACCGACACACACCCTAAGTATGACGAGTTGTCCCCTTACCTCCATCCTCACGGCCACTTGTTCCCTTCTGGGTAGGGACCAACCACTGAAAGGCGCTGGCACTCATTGGGAAGGGCAGGTGGGACAGACAGGTGAGGGGTGCAACAGACTCAGCACAGTGGGACCTCAGACCCACCACGTGTATAAGCATCTCCTAACGGAGCTTCATCACCCACACTGATCACACATGACAGATGTCCCCCCACCCCCCAGGAGCCCCAAGTAAGCAACCAGGGTGTGGCTGGGCCAGGAACCAAGCAGGGGAGAAGGCACATGGGAGTGAGGCAGAAACCAAGCTGCTTCCGAGGACATTTATTGGAGCCTGGCCAGCGTGAATGCATCAGGAGCCCCCTCCCACGGCCCGGCAGCCCGGCGGGCCGGGACAAAGGAGGCACCTCCTCCGATCCCTTTATAGACAATGTTATAAAAAAAATAAACTTTACAATAATACATCTCGCTCATCTGTTGGGGTATTATTTCAATAGCTTTGTTTCTTTAAAAAAAAAAAAAAAGGAGAGGGAAACCACATGATATATGTATATGGATGTGTATATACATATATGTCAAGAAGGGAAACGTGTTGTGTACATACAGTTGGCGTATGTCTCAGAAATGAGGAAAGATAAGCTGGAAGCGGGGAGAGAGCTGCAGAGACCAGAGCGTGGGGCAGTGGGCGTCCGCTACGGTCTTCTCTGCCCCTCTCCGCAGCCCTCTCTCCAAAGAGAGCCACCCAAAGAATCATTTCTTTTTTTATTTCAAAATTCCTGCCACCAAGAGGAAGCGGCAGCCCCGAGCTGCTGGCAAGCATTGCTCCCTCCTCCTGAAGGGGTGTCCCAGGGGGGCTGAGCCTCCAAGGCCCTGGAGCTGCCCAGCCCATGCCACAGTGGGACCTCCGTGCACACCCTTCCCCAGGCCAGAAGCAGACCCGCCCAGCCCAGAGGGCGGGCAAAATAAACTCCACGCTCAAAGCCCTGTGGAGGTGCTACTGGTGCCCAGTTGGACCCAGGGGCCAGCCTCACTGCTCTGCCACCTGACGCCCCTCACCAGCCCCAGCAAGTCCCCAGAGTGGGCCACTTGAGAAGAGCAGTGGCCACTGTCCTGCCTCTGACTGCATCAGGCACGGCCACAGTCCCTTAGCCGCAGGGGTCTCGTCAGGGTCCAGAGAGGAAAACGCCAGGAGAAGGTGTGGGGCATGTCTAAACCTTCGTGCCCGCCTTGGCGCTGGGGTGCCCTTGCCAGGGGCCGTCCAGGAGGCTCTCAGGCTGCCCGCCTACTGTCTGTCTGGTTTAGAAAAACTTCTCCAGAGAAGAAACCTGGGAACAGACAGATTCAGAGACAAGGTGGGGAAAAATGTTTTGCAGTGTGTGTGTGTGTGTGTGTGTGTGTGTGTGTGTGTGTGTGTGTCCTTTCAGCAGGCGGGTGCTCTCGTCCATGTAGCTTTCGGAAACCTCCAGATGCCGCGCCCAGAGCCTACAAGGCCAGCTTCCACATCAGGAAGGAGAGAGCGGTCAAGGCGGCCGACGGGCTGGCTCGGCAGAGGCCTGAGTTGGGTCTGATCACCTTGTTACTCCCTGGGATGATGTTGGTGGTGAGCTGAGGCCACGGCAGAAGGGGACAGAAGCAAAGAGAACAGAGAAGACAAACAAACCACAAGAGTCAGCAGGGCTGGGAACAGGCAAAGAAAAGGACCAACTTCCCAGACCACTACCCTCCCCCCCTCCCCCTCGCATCCAGGGGGCTCCCCTTTGCCCACTTGTCCACTCTCTTGGAGGCAGAGCCAGGCTTCCAGAGAGCTGGGCTGAGCCCCAGCTGGGGAAGGCAGTGCCATGATGCCCAGGGCAGCCTGGCTGACACTGCCCAGGGAGGAAGGCCAGGGAGAAGGGGTGAGACAAAGATCTCAAGGGGAAGGAGCTCCCGGGTCCCCAGGACCTTCTTGAGGAGAGGAAAGAGGTGCACTGTTCTTCCTGTTCCTAAATGTGGCTGAACCCCTCCCTTCCATCGAGCACCCCCTTCGTATCTCTAAGGCACTCTCCTCCCCCTGTGGAAGCTTGCATGGCCCCTCTGGGTAAGTTATAGACAGACTATCATATAGTCAGATCCCCTCATGCACTGGGGCTCCTGTGAGGAAGGGGCTGTGTCCTCTCTGTCTCCTCAAGTTCACAGAACCAGCAAGCGCAGGTGCTCGGCACACCTGTCTTAAGAGTCAGGAAGGCATGGCAGGGCCCTGCTCAGAGCAGCCAGTGTCTCTCCCAAGACAGCCAAGCTCTGCAGCCGCCCTGTCTGGTGCTCAGCTGGCCCAGCCCGCCATGGATGAGGGCCCTGAGTCTAAGGCTCACCTGGAAGCAGCCTCCAGTGGCCAGGCCCTTACACCACCGCACTCTGCCCCACTCACCTCTGTGAAGCACGTGCTCAGCTCTTTGGAGCTATTGGCCTTCAGCCCCTGCTCCTGCGGGAGAGAAGACACCGGTGAGGACGGGTCACCGCAGCTGAGCTTGTCCTGTTACTCAGACAAGGCCCAGCCATCTGCTGTGGGCGTCATGAAGCACAGGGCACAGGGCAAAGCTCTGGCTCCCATGCAGCACAAGACCCTGTCCCCTTCTGACATCTCAGCAACTAGATCCCAGCTCCTGCCGGCTCCTGAATAGAGAGTTCTAACTGCACTCGCGAATGTCCAAAAGCCACTCACAGGTCTCTCCACCACACTCAGCTCCTCCTGAGGCAGGAACCATGCCTTCCTCCCCTCACATTGCACGGTGTCTGGCCTATGACAGCAGCTCAGTAAACGTCTTACCAGGTGCATGCATGAATGGATAGATGAATGTACGCATGCCACTGAGCAGAATCAGCATCTGAGAGTCCTCATTTGGGTTCATGGGGAAGAGACAGTGATTGATTAGTTATGTCTGCCACTGGTGCATGTCAGGAGGACATATGGCAACAGTGCCAAGGGTTAGTTTTTCCACCTAAATCAATGTATGGCTCCTGGGAGCTCTGTGGTCAAGGTGAGGAATGGGAAAGAAAGCTGGTTTGGTGATGGTTCCAGGTTCTGTGCCCCCGTCATGACTACCTGGATGCAGGACCAGAGGGTGTGCTGATGAACAGTCCTTTGTGATCATCATCCTAACAGTGATCCCAGGGAGCCAGCTGAGGGATGCGGTGTTTCTATCCTAACTTCAAATGGCTTGGTTCTCAAGGCACCTGCAGGGACTCTCTGGCCACCAGAAGCAACTGAGAAGCCCAAGAAATTATGCCTAAATCACTGCTCTCGGCCAGAAGTATCAAAATCCCTTGAACATCACAGGCCATCTGGTCAGCTCCACAAAGCCCAGCTCTCACACAGGGGTCCGGCCAAGAGCAGAGGCAGTGCCAGTGATGGAGATGTGATGGGGGTGATGCAGTGGGCAGAAACCAGACCCAGAAGGATCCTGCTTAGGACCACAGAACCAGTGACCCAGGTGCCAAGATCCAGCCCCACCAAGCCACCAACCTGCATCCCTGGGAAAGGGAGAGTACTCTAGGGCCCTTTGCCCCAAGGTCTGGATTCTACTGCCTGGACCCAGGGCAGCTCCGGCCAGGGAAAAGTGCTGGCTGGAGCCAGCCAACTCTCCCCTGTGTCCCTGCTTCTGTTTCTGGCACCACCCCCAAATCTCAATGCCCTTGGTCACCTCCCTCCAGCATACCCAATCCCCCAATAACTCACAGCTCCTCCCCACAGTTCAACTCCTCCTTTATTACCTGACTATGGCCAAGATCTCCAGCAGATCCCTCAGTCTCTCCTTTGCCAACCAATCTCCCCAGCTGTCAACTATCCTCCCAAACCACAGTTCTCATCTTCTCATCACGACACTCCCTGTTCAAAAGCTTTCATGGCCTCTCCACACTGACCATTCAACCTGCTCACTGGTCTTCATTCCTGCCCACCCCCACTCTGCATTCTCGCCCACGTCCACCGCCTGCTGTCCCTCCAGATCCAGAGCAGGCTGTTTCTCCGCAGAAGGCCAGACAGTAGCGATTTCAGGCTCTGCCGGCCAAGCACTGTGCACTCCGCTCTGCCTGTGCACATAGGCGATGTGTAAACAAGGGTGCAGTGTTGACCCAATAAAAAAATGTATCCACAAAGGCAGCACGCCAAAAGCAGCACCCCCTACTCAACCTCTCCCTGCTGCCCTGCCTCCCTGACTTTCTCTGCTTGCCCCTCTGCTTGCCCCTCCCTTTCTTCCAGGCTTAGCAGTACCCTTGACCACAAGGCCCTACTAGGCTGGACCCCACCACACAAGATCAGTCCTTTTGGTGCAGCAATCACTTCCTCCCCCTGATCTTTGGAGCATGTCCATCCCACCCCTATGGGGACCTGGGTACTGGCCCAGGAAGCTTGTCAGCATTCGGTGCCTGGAATACAGTGACATGCAGAAGAGTTTATGTTGAATAAATGCATGAATGCAGAGGTGGATGAATAAATGAATGACTGTGAGGGAGAGTTGGAGGAGGGAAGAGGGAATGCATGCAAGTCTCCCAAAGCTTTGAAACAAGCCATATTTATAAAGCAGGAATTGTGCCTGATAGACACGTGGCAGGCCTCTCTGCCCCATTCTGATGGCCGAGGGCATGTGCACAAAGTGAGAGACCCACCATGGAACAGGCAGGAGAGGAGGAGCCCGAGGCAGGTGGCTGCTAGCTGCTGAGCCCATGCAGGTGAGTGGTGAGGGGCTGTGGCAACTCCTCCAAACTCATTTCTAATTTCCCTAGATGCGATGGGCCGTATCAAGGGTAAGAGCAGGAACTGACCGGTGGAGACAAAAAAAGCAAAGGGTGTTGCTGGGCCCCTTAGCACAGGAAGGGTGAGCCTCTAGTTGATCTGATGGGCCCTACAAACTGGCCCAGAGCAACCTGGAAGTGCTCAGGACCCTGGGAAGAAACCAGGGCCAGGGAAGGTGCCAACCCACTGCCAGCTTTCCCCATCCACACTGGTCCAGGCCCATCGTATGACCAAAGGGCCTTCTAACCATCTTTCTGCATTCTCAACAGAAAGATGTCGCCTTGTACATTCATGACACACGAAGGGCATCAGAGAGAGCGGGAAACATAATAAATAGCTGCCTGTGACCAATAAAACAGACTGTTTCTACACTGGAAAGCAGGCAGTTCCAATAGAGCAATGAATTGGGGACTCGCGTTCTTCCACTCCCTCTACAGAGCTCCAGTCCATGCCAACCACTGTATGCTCAGTTATCCATGGAGGGCGAGATGTGGCCAGTTTTCCAGGGATGCTGACCTGGGAGTGGCGAGCAGAGGCATGTGGAAGGGGACAATATGAGGCAATGCAGGAGCCCTACGTAAATGGAAGGCAGCTTTGCCTGAGCAGCATCAGGGGACCACTCGAGAGGCGACATGCAGGCAGAGAGGGTGAGGGAGAGGGAAGGAGAAGCACTTTGCTCAGAGGGACTGACTAGGCACAGCCAGTACCTTGCTTGCACAGTCTTCAGGCCTAACCCATGGGACGACCTCTCTGGGCTTCAGAAACCAAGGCCCTTGCATGAGGGTACAAGATGGGCTATCTCCTACAGGTTCCCTGCTCTAAGACCTCACCTCTCATTTGGGTCAAACCAAGGATAAGACAAGCCCTCAGATGGGGAGGCTGCAGAAAATCAGGCTCAGGTGAGAGGAAACCAGGCCATGATCCAGCAAACCTCTAAGGTGAAATGGGGGGAGGGGAGTCATAGACCTCAGGCACAGGCGTCTTCAAACTACGGCCCGCGGGCCACATGCGGCCCGCAGAGGAGTCTGATCCGGCCCGCCAGGTTTTTTGGGCAGTGAGCGCAGCCGAGGTGTTACAGTAGGAATTAGTAGTTCATATAGTCCGGCCCTCCAGCTCTCTGAGGGACCGTGATCTGGCCCCCACTTTAAAAAGTTTGAGGACGCCCCTACTCAGTAGGCTGTGGTGGGGCAGGAGCCACGGCTTTGAACTTCCCACACCCATGGTCAACCACAGCAAGAGCCGCTTGCTGAGGCAGCATCCCCATGGGCGAGCCCACCCCCATGGACTAAGGGTGGGAGCGTGGCACATGGAGGCGGATGGTGCCTGGAGGGACACGTGGGCCACCTCCGAGCATGGCCACTTGACAGGTGGCACAGCCCCTATGGTGAGCTGCCCGCCACTCTAGCATGAAATTGAGCTGGCGACTGCCTGTGCAGCTGGCCCCGAGCCCTCGCCGGCCACTGCTTAAGTCCGCTCAGAGTAATCAGGAACTGTCCAAGGGTGGCACGGCAGCTTGGCCCAAATCAGAAGCGGGGCCTAATGGAGGGGAGCGGGGCACTGAGCCTGGCACGTGAAGGTCAGCTGTCACCACACAAGACAGCCCGCTGGACAGGGAAGGGTGTGGGCTTCCCACCCAGGATGGCCCCAGCACCGGCCTCTGGGGTGCCGTAGGCACTGGGAACTGAATGCCTCCACTAGGCCCAGTCTCTGCTCACAGCCTCCTCCTGGCACCGTGTTTTTCCCCCAGCTTGATTGAGATTATACATGACCATCAAAAAGTGCATACAGGGTGGGATAAAAGTAGGATTACAGTTGTTCGCATGGAAAATAATAAATAATTAATAGATAATACAAGAGTAAACTGTCTTATGTACTCACAACTGTAAACCAACTTTTCCCCCACCCTGTAAATGTAAGTTGTACACCTGATGACTTGATACAGGCTGTGAAATATTCACCACAAGCCAATCCATCACATCACACCATTACCATTTTCCTGGTTTTTCTTGTCTGAGAACAAATACGGTCTAAGGTCGATTCTCTTAGCAAACTTCAAGCACTCTATATAACACCGTCAGTGACAGTCCGCTGCTGTGCACCAGCTCTCCAGAACTCACTCTTCATGAATGGAACTCTGTAGTGAAAGCCCACCTGCTGCTCATCCCACCAGCCCAGCCCATTCAGACGGGTGTCTCCACTGGCGCACAGCCATGTCTGTTTCCCTTGCCTCCCACACCTGTGCTCAGGCTGTGCTCCCAAAGCCCACCACCATGGCTATACTTCACACCCCACCCACCTTCTGGGCAATTCCAATCCCAACTCCTGCCTGAAACATCCCCTATGCCACCCTCTCACCACCTCACTGCTCCCTCCCTCCTCTGCCCCCTGGAATCCTGCATTCGGTCCTACTTTAGACTCTTTGTTCCAGGTATGTGTGTCAGTGACTGAGTGTGAGAGAAAGTGAGAGAGAGAATGAAAGTGTGTGTGTGAGTAGGCATGAGTATATGGGAGTGTGTGTCAGTGAGTGTACGTGTGTGTGTGTGTGTGTGAGAGAGAGAGGGGGGGGGCATGAGTGTACGTGAATACATGTCATTGAGTGTGTGTGGTTGTGTGTGTGTGTGTGTGTGTGTGTGTGTGTGTGTGTTTTTACTAGAACCAACGTAATAAGCAAAGAATCTCCTGTAGCACAAGTATATGATACTAGGTCAGCAAAGAGAGAAGTTAAGGGGGGCACCCTATGATGTACCTCTACAGTGCCACCTGTGTCCTGTCGTGACCCTGACCACAGACCATATCTAATGGCTGTTAGACTGCTTGACCTTGGACAACGCAATAAAGACCACAAATCCCAGGCTCTTGTCAAACTCATTCACCAGCATCTCTCTAGCATTTCACATAATCCATGTTGGATGGATGAACGGACAACAGACAGGCAAAGAAATTATCATCATGGGCCTTGGACTCAGACGGAGGTGAAATATTATGCCACCTCTAACTAGCTGTGATAGCTGGGCAGGTTGCCTGGGCCTTCTGGGTCAGGTCCTGTAAAATAAGAGCCATCTCTCTGTGAAAATTCAATGAAGTAGGAAGAGCTACTGGCTCATGCTTGGAAGGAGCAGATGGCTGATACACAGTAACCATCCCATTTCTCCTGCATCCCCTGCTACCTGGTACAATCCTGTGACAGAACAGGAGCTAGCTACCGTATTTTTCGGACCATAAGACGCTCCGGACCATAAGACGCACCAGTTTTTAGAGAAGGGAAATGAAGAAAAAAAGATTCTGAAACAAATAGTGTCCTAAAATATTTTATGTGCATTAAAACCCAACATCACAGTCATAAACACATGTAATCAACCCTGTAAAGTAAACAGCAGCATTTAGAACCATTTTAGAGCCGGGCAAGCACACAGAGACCACACAGAGCCGGGCAAGTAAAAAAACTTTTTTTTTTAAAGCTATATTTGGACCATAAGACGCAGGGACTTTTTCCCCCCACTTCTGGGGGGGAAAAAGTGCGTCTTATGGTCCAAAAAATACGGTACTTGCAAGGTGAATGCCTCATGAATGAATACATGGGAAACTAGCCCCCACCGATTCCTCCCTACCCTGGGTCCCTGATCCAAAGGGAGGAACCTGGGCACCCCGCTGGCTAACCTCCCACACCCGCCTCTGACAGCATGGTGCTTCCCCAGGCCCTCGGCCGCCCTGGCTCCGTTCCCCAGTGGCAAAACCACGTCCTCTCACCTCAACAGATGTGCAGGTGGTGATGACGCTGGTCCCCAGGTTGGTGCTGTCACCGAGATCATCTGGCAAAGAAGGTGTTTTCTCCACCCTAGGGGCCTGGGTGGCTGGGAATGAGGGATTTTTGGGGGACAGGTTCACATCTGTGCCGTTGCCAAAGGCCTGGATGGCGTTCCCTGTGGAGGGAGAGAGCAGGTAGACACAGAGAATCAAGGGCACCTCCGTCAACGTCTGCCCCTCGCCATCTCAGCCACTATGTTCCCTGTCACAGCCCAGGGCAGAGGATACGGTGCAGCTCTTCCAGACTCAACTGCGCCGAAGCTCCCCTTCAGATACGAGGTCCCACGTGGAGAAGAAAATAGCAAGAGGGATGCCGAAACCGGTTTGGCTCAGTGGATAGAGAGTCGGTCTGTGGACTGAAAGGTCCCAGGTTCGATTCTGCTCAAGGGCATGTACCTTGGTTGTGGGCACATCCCCAGGAGGGGGTGTGCAAGAGGCAGCTGATTGATGCTTCTCTCTCATCAATGTTTCTAACTCTCTATCCCTCTCTCTTCCTCTCTGTAAAAAATCAATAAAAATATATTTTTAAAAAGTAGCAAGAGGGAGATTAAAAAGACAAGAGACCAGAATAGAAAGAAATATAGGTGATGAGAAGTGCAAAGGAAGGGAGGAAGGTGCTGGAAGCGTGGAAAGCCTGGAGGAAGGAGCGGGCCACGCCCAGGGCAGCCAGCACCCTCTTCCCAGTGGCACTCAGTGCTGCAGACACGCCCACTTCAGAGCTCCGCCATCCCAGCCCCCCAAGCACTGGTTCTCCAGGCTCCTTTGCCACCTCAGGTGCTCCTAGGTCCCCACCACTGGCATTCCAAGGGCCCCAGACTCACCTTCATCCCTGAGTAGCCTCACCAACTCCCACACCATTAGTTAGCACTAACTCACTGAGGACTAAATTAATGGAACCTCTTGGACAAAACTGTCCCCAAGACTTAACCCTCTAACCAAATGCCTAAAGAAATTCCCACCTCCACGTCCTCAAGCTCATCATGTGTACACCTGAACCAGGCACTACTCCCTTCCCTGTCCATACTGTTTTCCCGTGTTTCCAATCTGGAAGGTTTCATCTCTCCCTACCCAAACCCCCCCCCCCATTTGCCTCCCTAACCACCCACTTGCTGCCATTTGAGCCCACCTCCTAAAGTTCTCTCCCCTCCACCTCTTCCCTCCATCCTCTATGACCCTGTTTCAGGACCTCAGCCATCACTGTCCTCTCCCTCTGAGTGGACCCTCTGTGGGTCACTGGTCAGAACCACATCCCTACCTCACCCCTCCACACTGGACCACAGAGTGAACCTCTGAAATGCACATCTGACCTGGAACCAGGTGATGCCCCTGCAGTGATTCACACCACCACCCCAACTGCGGGAAGCCGTCCATTGTCAAACACTATCATGAAAGTGCAACAAGGAACTCGGAAGGCTGATGAACCTTGAGCTTTAGCAAGGACTAAAGCTATTCATCAATTGTTCTGTTGAGATAGTGGTGGCTCAAAGCAATTTCCTGACCTAAGAGTCTCAAAGTAAATCTTTACTGATCTTTTTACTGACCTTTGAGACAGGCTGCTTCCGGTTTTCTGTGCTCAACTAAGGGCAAAGATGTGTATCTAGAATTGAATGAAAGCTAACAGGCCCAGGGCTTCAGAGAGCTTCTTTACTAGAAGGAAGTTTCCACCTGGCCCCTGCGCCTTCTAAATTCATATTTCCTATCTAGTGTTTTCATTTATGCGCGGCCCCTTCTTCAGATCCTGAACCCTTGCTGCAAATGGATGAGGCACACCACCAGTGGGGATCCCCTTTGGGAGGGGGACCCCCTCCTGCCCAGACAAATCCAGGTGACCCCATCCATGCTCTGAAGCAAGGCTCCGTGGTCTGTGGTTCTCACAACTCACTCTGCCCAGGTGGACAGACAAGCCCTCCCTGCCACTTCGCTGACCAATGGCCCTGTCCCTCAGGGGGTCACCTCTGAGGAACCTCCAAGGGCTCCCTACTGCAGGCTGGGCTGGTCATCCCACCCTGGGCTCCGGGAGAGCTCTGTGCAGGCCTTTCCCCAGCATGTTCCCCCGGACTGTGACCACACGGACCTCAGTCAAGCTACAAACTGCCCATGACAGGCACTACAACTTGTTTCTCTGAGTTCCCAGGGCCATACAGAAAGGCAGCATGGACAGATGGACAGAAGGAAGAGTGAGGGAAGAGAGGGGGAGGGACCCTCCAGGGGGTGTGGGTAGCAGAGGTGTCAGTCTGAATAGATGGAGGCAGACAGAGCTTGTGGCTCACCTTGCTCTCCAGCCTTTGGATTAGGAGTTTGATAACTTGGGTGGGGAAAAGTCACAGATTCCAATGGATTCTTAAAAATTGATGCCAAAGGGAGAAGCGACAAGACAACCGAGGGCCTCACCATGAGGTTGTCCCAGAGGATCTGTCTGAAGCTGTCAGCATAATAGACCAGAAACCTCCAGCCCTGACTTGACACAGGCTCACGGCCTCCAGTGGTAAACTGAGGCTGGCCCACGGACAGCTCCAGGGTGACTTGGAAAGCCCAGCCACTGTCTCTGCAGGTGACACCCTGGTGGAGCAGCCCCACAGGTCACTGGCTGTCCCGATGGAGGAGGAAGGGCATGGCTCAGACAGCCTCAGAGCCCCTTTGGGATGAGGATGGGAGCGGCGAGTTTGGGGGGAGCACTGCAGGACTTACGAAGGCAGGGGTTCTCGGTGAAGTCTCTGAGGAACTTCTCACACTCCTCCTCCAGGTTCCCACTCCCCCGACAGCTGCACCAGGGGGATACCACGATGCCAGTGGGGCTGGAGTCCACATAGTTGGGCGTCATGTCAAACCCTGGACAGGGAGAAAGGGAAGCAAAGGAGAGGGGAGCAGTGAGACCCCCCTCTCTGGACCCCCAAACCTCAGACCCCAAGATAATAGGCTTGGAAGCCGAACTCCTTCCCACCTGCCCCCAAACACACATACATCCCAACTCAAAGTCCAAACTCTGAGTGTTACTATTCCAGGGAACCATGGGGGTAGCAGGGGGCAGAAGGCGTGGGAATGCTCCCCCTACCCCCGCCCCCACTCCCATCTCCAGAGTGTGGCCTGTATTTTCTCCTGGCCTCAAGCAGAGTGTATTCTGGAATTCATGTGACTGGGCTCATATCCTGGGCTTGGGTCCCAGTGCCAACATTTACTAGCAGATGAACCTGTGCACATTATTCCATTTCTCTAAGCCTTGGTTTCCCCATCTGCAGCATCTCCACTTCCCAGCACCTCCCTAGAAAGTGCTGTTAAAAGAATTAGACAGTCAACTGCTCAGCACGGCACCTGGGATGTCAGACCCTGCAATCAATGTTCCTTTTTCCTCCTATTTCAAAATCCTTGTAGGTTCCTCGGGCCCTCCTCCCCCATGAAACAGCCAGCCTGCTCTCTGGTCTCCCATCGCAGCTCCATCCGAAACCACCACCAAGAAAGGCGAGCTCAGGTGTCCACTCAATGGCTGGACCTGGGCCTGGCCCCTGGCCCCTGGGCAGCTGGGCATCACCGTGAGCCCGAGCAAGGGGTGGCTTACCAATCATGCCCGCATAGGAGCCCAGACACGCCTGGTAATTGTCGGCTGGACAGCTGGTGAGCGTCTGGTAGGAGGCGTGACAATTGGCGTGGAAGTCCGCCAGCCGGGACCTGGTTTTGGGAGAAGACGCATGGAGAGAACAAATTAGCGTCGCTGCCTTCCCTCCCGCCTCCTCTGCAGCACAGGGGTTCCTCCCAGCTTCCTGGACTGGAGGGAGCCAGGGAGAGGGAGAGGAGGAACATGGGGCCACCAAGGGCTCTCGGCCTTCAGGGACCTGAGAGGGGACAGGGACTTTAATAAGTTCAGAGGATCTGGAGGCAAACACAACCTCCAAGCACCGGCTGTGGGTTGAATTGTGTCACCCAAACCCCTGGTACCTGTGAATGTGACCCTGTTTGGAAGTTAATTCTTTGCAGATGTAACCAAGATGAGATAATAATGAAGTAGGTGGGCCCTCCATCCAATGACTGGTGTCCTCATTAGAAGAGAAGAGCCCTGATCAGTTTGACTCAATGGATAGAGTGTCGGCCTGTGGACTCAAGGGTCCCAGGTTCGATACCCAGTTGGGGGGATGGGGGTGGTGCAGGGGGCAGCTGATGGATGTTTCTCTCTCATCAATGTTTCTGACTCTCTCCCTCTCCCTTCCTCTCTGTAAAAAATCAATAAAATCTATTTAAAAAAGAAAAAGAAAGAAAGAAAGAAAGAAAGAAAGAAAGAAAGAAAGAAAGAAGAGGAGAAGAGACACAGATGTGCAGCACATGCAGACGGAAACAGAGGCTGCCGGGATGCGCCCATGAGCTCAGGACACCAGGGGTGCTGGCAATACCAAATGCAAGAGAAAGGCACGGGACAGAGTCTCCCAGAAGCCTTTAGGGGGGCCTGGCCCTGAGGACACCTCCAGAACTGTTGGAGAATAACTCTGTCTTAGGCCACCCAGGTGTGGCACTTCGTTACAGCAGCCACAGGAAACTCATACAGCACCTTCCAACGCCACGTTGTTAGCTTTGGCCAGGTGTCTCCTCCAGTGGGGGGACCTGGTGAGGGCGGACCCCGGCTCTGCAGGGGTCACAAGCAGAGCCAGAGGCCCCCATCTCCTTCCCACCCAGAAGGCACCCAAATGCCATCTCTTAGCCAAAACACAGGAGTCTGTCCAATGCCACCTGATCACAGGTAGGGCCCAGCTCCCTCCTGCTGCTTCCTCAGTGCCCCCCCTGCCGCCCTGCCCTATGAAGTCCTTTCTGGCCGCCTCTACCTCTGTATTCCAGCTGCAGACAACATCTGGACCAAGCAAGCAAATACTCAATTGTATAGGCATCTACTGTTGTTGGCCTGTTGGACTCTCCAACTGGAACCCACATTCCCAAGGGACAGACCCTACTGATTTCTTCATCCAAACCCCTTGGGTTGGATGCAGTGGTAGATATCTACCCATCCTTTCTCCGAACACGTGCTGAGCCCCTGCCACATGACCGAGGGACTGAGGGTGGGAATGACACGCCTGTCCCTGCAATGTCTGAAAGGAATTCCCAGCGAATGGGGACAGGGTCCTGTGGGAGCAACTGCCCACTAAGCAGGTGAGCCTCCCAGACGGCCTCTCAGTGAGAAGGGGTAGGCAATTTCACTGCTGCAGAGGAGAGGGTCTGTCACCAGGCCACGCTCTGCCCATCCCTTGCCCGTGACGTGGCCTGTGCTCAGCGTCCCATTACCCAATGGGTGAGCCACGCCAGCCCCCCTCCCTCACAGGGGCCTGAGAGACGTGGGCACAGAGGAGAGGCATCAATCAACCTTATCTCCCCTCCACCCGGGCGCCTCGTCCCAGCACGGTGCCTGCCATGGGCAAGGACCCAGTGGGAGCAGCTTCCCTGTGTCTGATAAAAAAAAAAAATAAAAAAAAAAAAGACACCTGTTACCTGCCACGGTGGATGTGGGTCCCAAGCAAACAGTGTGAACAAGGAGATGGCTCCCTCACCCCTCCCTTGCCTCCAGGCGCCAGGCGCCCCGCTGGACAACAGGTGACCGATGCCCTCCCGCCCCCACATCACTTTCCCCGCCAGGCTGAGGACGCAGGAGGAGGAGGCAGGCCCCCGAAGCCAGGCACCGTGCACTGGGCCCCGGGGTGACCAATACGAAAGGGCTGCCTTGCTCCCCTGAGGCCATGGCCTACTTCCTTCCCGGCAGGCCACAGCTCTATCCAGAGCACAGGGAGGGGGAGCAGGCCCAAGACCAGCAGGCGGCGAGAGGAATGGGGTGGAGGGGCAGGCAGCTCTGGAAGGCGAGAGTGGCAAATGGGGCCATTTAGGAGGATGTCCCGTCCAAGCTCCAGGAGGCCTTTGATTGCTCAGGTCCTCTCCTCTCCGCAAAATACACTGAAGTCCCCGGCAGCTGGAGCACTCTGAGAGCACATGGTGTCAATTTCCCTCAAGCCATGACACGCCTGACTCCAACCACAACACATAGCAGCCCTGGTAGGTGCAGACACAAGGCAATGGGATCTTTGCACAGTGCACGGCGAGCCAGCTGGGATCTCTGCACCATCGCTGGGCCAGGTGCCACTCTCCCTGCAGGCGCCCTCGGTCACCTGTCTCGTGGACTCTGCCCTCCCTGCCAGGACAGGCCTTCCTGGATCAGCCCCACCGCTTCTCAGATGTCTTCCTTTCAGAGCCCCCGTGAGAGAGGTGGCATCAAAGAAAGCGGGAGAGAAAGACGACAAGCAGACCACGAAGTGAGAAAAGCAGAGCGCCAGCAAGAGAATCAATATGAACCCAAGCCAACTCCATCTCGCCGAGATCAAGCGAAAGCTGCCAAGTGAGCGCGGGGCAGCAGGTGGGTCTTTCCAAAACACAAACCCTCTGTGGGCTTGTTTCCTCAGCAGCTGTAGCCTGTTCAATCACAGGAAATCAGCGGAGAGACGGAGAGGGGCACTTGACCCCCAATTTGATTAAACAATTGCCAGATTGAATACAGGACACCCATCTAATTTGAATTCCAGATAAGCGATAATGCACCTTCTTAGGGTAAGTGTGTCCCAGGCCATATTTGGAGCATGCTTACATTAACCGGTATTCCATTGTCTATCTGGAATTCAAATGTAACGAGGTATCCTGTATCTTATTTGTTAGACCCTGCATTCCTGTTTGACGGGCAGATTTGCTCCTGCGAAGTCAAGATGTGTGCAGACCGCCCCTCACAGCAGAAATCACGCAGATGGGGTGCAGGGGTGCGTGGACTTCCTACAGGTCAGCGATTCTCAAAGTGCAGTCCGAAGACCAAGGCGTCAGCTGGGAATCTGGTAGAAATGCACATTCCCAGGCCCCACCCCAGACCTAGCAGATCTGACAACCAGAGCAGGGCCCAGCCACCTGTGCTTTGCCCAACCCCCCAGCCCTCCAGGTGGCCTGGAGGCAAGTGCCACCAGGGACATGGCCCCTGCACAGGCTCAGAGCTGGTCTCAGCTTTCGCTGCCCCCACTCCAGGCCCAGCCAATGAAGAAAATGAAGCTTCAGGCCAAAGCTCATAATTACATGGCAAAGAGTATGCATGTTCATACACACACACACACACACACCTACACACATTCACACACGCACACCTATACACGCACACCCATACACACACACCTACCTACACACATACACACACACACACACACACACACACCTATACACACACACACCTACACATTCACACACACCTTCACACTCACACACACTCACACATGCACACACACCTATATACACACACCTACACTCACTCTCTCTCTCTCACACACACACCCCTATACACATACACCTATACACACACACACAGCTACACTTAGACACACCTCTCAGTTCCATGCTTTGGTCTTAGTAAAGAGAACATACAGGTACCAGTTATCAATGAGACACCCCCTTAACCCAGATTGTACCCAAACACATACACTTTCTCAAATCTGTCTGGCCTCATATACAACTGGGGTGAACTGCTCCCACAGAACCCCCAAACATCCCAATGCTGGCCAACACGTGGCTGTTTGGCCTGAAGTTGTTGTCAATTTCCCAAAGTTCCAACTTTTCAGGAAACCCCTGTTCTACTGGTTGGAGAAATGGAGAAAGAGGAGAGGGGGCTAATGTTCCCTGAGAACCTACTATTTGCTGGACACACTCTCTCATTTAATTCTGAACAACCCCATAAAGTAGACAGAGTGGATGATGTCACTGTGCAGACAGGGTCGCTCCAAGAGGCAGGACACACATGCATATCCCGCAGCAGCACCACACCCGGCCCAGGCACCTCCCCGTGAGGGCAGGTCCTTTCTCCGGCTCTGCTGCCAGGAGCCCCCGCTGCTCACAATGCTTCCAGGGTAGCCGCCAGCACGGCCTCACGCAAACCAACAGGGTACCACAATATTGTGTGGAGGCAAGAACGGGCTCCCAAGAAGAGCCAATCACTCACCACGGCTTTCCAGACAATTTATGGGGATGCAGAGCAAAGGGCTTTACAAGGCTCACGTGCATCTGGAGCCGCTGCCTGAGGCCCCGTCAGCGGTGCAAGGCCTCGTTAAGTGGGTTCGGTGTCCGTGACACTGAGAAAGGGGAAGGCGGATTCCACCCACGCAGCTGTTTTCTGACATCTCCGGGGCTCACCGTGGACAGCCTGTCCTCCATCCTCTCCTGCTCCTCTAGGATACTGCCACCACTCGCTTCATGGCATGAGGGACCAACCGGCTTCCTTCCCTCCTGTGCAACCTGGAAGTGCACACTGGGAACTTATTCTTTCTTCCCAGAAGAGCTGCTCTCCTCGGGGACTTCTTCCTCCCGCCAGGCTGTCAACCATAGCGTCCCACCCCCCTGGGATGCAGGTGGACACACGACCCAGGCAGCACAAACCACACATTTTTTTTCCCAGCCACACTGACTGGCCCAGGGAGGAGGATGATACAGGCTGGGCCAGACAGGGCCCTTCCCCGAAGTCTTGCTGGTGGAACAGGCATGGGAGAGCATCCTTCTTTCTGGCTATGAGACTGGATAGGTGTGAGCCCAGAGCAACGGGAACCACGTTCAAGCCTCGTGGCACAATACAAATAAGTAGTTACACTGAAGAGAGAAGCAGAATCAGAGAGAGAGAGAGA